CTAAATCTAATAGCTTCTGATATAGTAAAGTAATAATAGTAAGGTAATAGGATAACTTGGCGAGAACAACAATAACCATGTATAGTTCGGCCGCTTAGAAAGCGACCTCCTCCAGCATTGATTTAGCATTAGCGCGCAGGTCGTTTTCCCTTAGAAAACGACCTGCGCGCTAATGCTAAACCAATGCTGGAGGAGGTCGCTTTCTAAGCGGCCGAACTATAGTAACACACCAAAACCACAGACATGAATGCGTTTTTGCCGTCATGTATTACTCTACTCATTGGGGAGCGTTGGATGTTCACCTATACAAAATGTTGCAGGAGAGGGTGATAGTGTGAATTATAGGTATTCCTTGGTCCATTGGCCGGTGCCTCGAGGGGTGATGACCCACGGACTAGGGATGGGCTGATGACTCACATAGCCAGGTATACAGTGGTGGCATATGACACACATCCTAGAGTGGTAGCAAAATTTAAAATATCACTGGTGGCAAATAACACATATTCGTTGGCAGCGTCGTTAGCCCGTGAATAGCAAAAAGAGGTTGTTTTAAAGAGTAGTTTTTGAATAAAAATTGAGTATTTGAAGTCAGGGTTGTATGCCATTTACTTTTGTTATAATCGATGGCATTAAACTTGATCAATGGGAGGGGTTTAAATTATATTGAAACCATCCTCTTATGTTGTTTGGTGATGTTTTATAAGATTATGAGATTTGTTTCTTAATTAACAAAAGGAATCGGTTTTCTTAACCAGGTTGTAAAAGTTTTGTATTTTTGCATTTTCGCTCAATGCGACATTTGGGTAAAACTTTGGTAATAGCGACATCCAACTGTTTTTCTTCCGCGTTTCTTCCACGAAGCAAATCATAGATATATCGCTTGGTTGTAAATATAAACATATGTAAAATATTGCAGAAATCAAATATTTTTAAATAGCTGTTCGGTATCAGTTTATAGCCTAGACGACGTAGTATCTCGGCAGGTTCTCAGTATTACAATTTCGGACAGCTGTTCCAAAAAATATGAACAGCGGTAGTTAGTTAACCGTTTTAACATCTATAATCATTATCATTTTATCATTTATCATTTTGAATTGACATAAAACGTGTATGACATAAAAGACTAAAATAAAGTAGACTACGCTGAATTTATGATTCTCTTTTACATTTTTGTTAATATTAAAAACAATTTTAATTACAGATTTACTGTGTTATTTCACTATTTTTCACAAGCGATCACATTACATACAATGAACAAAACCTAACAGACTATGCTGGAAAGATGATTATTTTTTGTATTTTTTTAAATAAGTTAAGATTTTATAATTTGAATAAATATATAGTAAAAAAGTTTGGCAAAACTGTGTAAAAGTCTTTCTGTACAATACGCATATTATGTACAAAATGAATGTTTCTCAAAAGACTCTACATGACTGGAATGACCTGTTGTGAAAAGAGATTCTTTAAACTAAAGGGCATTGGGATTTCGCAGTAACGCGCGAGGGGATTAACATAACTTACTGAGCACTGTTCACTCATAATGATTCATTCACCTTTCCAAGTACTGTTGATGAGATTCCTTGCAGTAGTCGACACAACAATTGGTCGAATACATTGTATGCATACCCAGGGCCGGTTTAACCCATACGCGAACTACACGGCCGCATATGGCGCCACGAAAAAGTGGCGCCGTGGCGCCAACGGAACATTTATTTTTACGTGAACAACGTAATTTTGTTTATTTTTGCTCAGAGTTCAAGTATTCAAAGCACCACAATAAAGGCATTTATTCTGTTTGTACCAACAGCACTTGAAAATTGTGTATATTTGTACAGCACTACAACTCAAGGACTCACTGCCATTTGCAGTTTCGATTTGAACTGAGCTGACGCTCGGCAGTCGGTAGCGTCAGCGCCAGCGCGGCACCTATGGGTTTCATTTTTACGAATCACTCATGCTCGAGATAAGCAAGCGCGCAGCGCCACTTGTCACAACAAGAAACTTCCCCTTTCTTTCACTCCTTTCTGCCTCTGATCCTAGAGCAGAGCACTACGTTGTATTGCACTCTTTTAGTTGTATACGTAGGCCCACGATTACTAGAAAAATACCGGTACGGATCATAAACATAAACAAATGACGTTGTTGGCCCGAATCCTATACTAATAGCATTGAACACATGTTTTGGCAGTTCCATTTAAGCAATGTTAAAAAATGTTTATTTTCGGGCCAAAAACGTCATTTGTTTATGTTTATGATCCATACCGGTATTTTTCTAGTAATCGTGCGTAGGGCTATACCGTATCGGTATCGTGTATTTTGGCATTGTTTTGATGATACATGATTGTTGATAAGCGAATTATTACGAGTGTTTTAAGTTTAATTTATAATTAGCGCATTAAATAAAAAGAAAGTATAAACTGAATGAATGAGTAAAGCATATTGCGAGTCGAAACTATGAAAACAATGGCAGAAAAAAAGAAACCGTCTGGCGCTTATCATAGAAAGCGTAAGGCGAATTTGGAAGAGGAAGAAAAAAAAGCCAAATCAATGAGTAGACTTTTGTAGAAATCATCTGGTGGCGAGTCCAGTCAGCCCAAAGAAGCCACGATAGAAGACGGCAATGACGTAGGTATTTATTTATTTATTTTCCAAGGAAAGATTAAAACAAGCAGCTGATCACAAACGGCAAACATTACGTCATTGCCGTCTTCTATCGTGACGTCATGCTTGACGAGCATTACATTACGACCTGTTTTTTTTTTTGTGTGTCCTTGGTTTTGCTATAGTTTATATGATGAGTAAAAGTGTACGGTATAAATGTCACATTTCTGCGAATAATAAACAGCCTTTTATTGCAAGTTAGTATTCTTCTACCTAAACTTATAAAACAAATTCTTCCCAAAATTATTGGGAAAAAATTCACAAATACGGTTAAGTTATGTTCATGGGTTTGGGGGGGGGGGAATTCTAAGTGGCGCTGATTCGGGTGTTCGCTTAACTCTGAAAAATTCCTAGAACCGGCCCTGTGCATACCGAAAGCCTACAACTACATTTCACAACACGTATTTCGATGACCTTTCTCAGTACAAGCTCATGGTTTGTGCCTCAAGAAACAATAAGGCATATTTTGTTATTGTTAAAATAAACACGAAAAACTATGTTTTACCATGGTTGTATAATAAATCGTTAAAGAAATATTCGAAACAATTATCATTCAGTTGATTGTATATACGTCATATTAACCAAAAGTTGGCTTCAAAGATCGAATCCTAATATTTGAATCTCAAAATTAAAATTAAAAACATGTTCGATTAGTTAATGTCACAAATAAATTAAGATAGGCTACTTAATAATAAAATGTTTACTATTAAATTAAAACAGAATGAAGATAATTAATCATTCTCACTAATTTTTATATCTAGCCAGGGGGTAAAATTCTGGGGGTAAAATTCCGGGGGGTAAAAATCCGGGCCGTACACTCTAGGTTTTTATAATTTGATGTGTTCTGATTAAATTCACAACCGTGAAAATATATGTTTAATTCATCGAGCTGATGTCGCGAAACTCAAAAGTTCGCGGCCGGAATTTTACCCCCTGGTTTGTGACGTCACGTTTGCCGAGGGGGTAAAATTCCAGGGGGATAAAAATCCGCTACCCCCATATTATAGGCCTAAGACTTGATTTTATGGTTAATCACATATTTTATAGTTTATTGGCCTATATTTAACATCGGATTTCCTCTACCAATTAGACGCATCATACAGTTTTGTGTTAGGCCAAAAAAGGTTACGTTCATTCAAAACTAATGAATTCCACTGATAATAAAAATCTACTGTTAGAAATAAGTATTTTTGTATACATAAAACTGCAAATAAACACTCCGAAGACTCTAAGATGTGATTTTCTGCTGTATAATGCATTTTCTAATGCTGATTTTAAGGACTTGCAAAAAATGTCATGGTCTTTACTTTATGCTCTTGAGTCTGGAGCATATTTATACAAGTGTTAAGAGGTTAGTTTTTATACTGAATCTCATTAAAAATATGTCTAACAAAAATAAAACAATCATGTTTAAGGTAAACTATTAATCTGGAACTCTAGTTAACCTATAAAACATACCGTGCCGTCAATGAGTTGAAACCTTTTTTGTAAGCTATTGGTAACGCTTATTTAAAAAATGTAAGTTTCCCCGCCATATACAACACTGATTCCAGGTCTTTTTCCCGGTTATCAAAACTCAAGAACAATTTTATACACAAAGAATCTCTATTTTCATTTACGGTGCATTTATCCATTTACCCTACACATTACTGCACTTGCAATTAATTAAATCTGTTATGTTGAGAAAAACGTTTTTAATCTCACTTGGTTTGGATTTGCTTTCGAAACGTGATCAGAAACGGTTGTGGTATTTGTAAACAACATTCAATGTAAACATATCAGTGACAGCTAGAAAAAATAATCTCGATCCAAACAGCTGTTCGTTATATCATAGATGATTATGTAATAAACATTGAGAGAAAACTTGACAAAAATCGCACAAAATTGGGTTTTTAAACATCCGCAATTTTATTTAGTGAGGCCATATTTAATAGCTAAAGACACTCTCCCAATCCAGTGAATACGAGGCATGTTTTTTAAGTAAGAAATTTCCAGCAAGGTCTTACCAATAGATGCCCAAACACAGCGCAAATGTCAAAAATGCCAATCGCAGTGCAGGAACGGAGAAATGTAAAAACGGTACTTACTTAAAAAACATGCCTCGTACATTAAAATGATTTGGACCTTGATAGGTACTCTCGTTTTTCAGGAGGAGGCCGCGTAAAATGGCTCTTGGGCCGTGACAGACAGACGGAAATTGAGATGAGACTTGTTTCGGCTTATTTAATGTATAAAACGTAAAAATAACCTAAAAATTTATGATTCTGAGCAATGTACAGACAAGCCTCTAATTTTATTTATATAGATAGATTTACACAATAAAAAATTAATATATTTACCTCTGCCTTGAAGATTGTGTGTCTTATCTTGATACAAGGGAGGCAATGAAATGGAGCATTCACTTTCATCACATTTACTCAATACTTGGATTTTCTTCTGCACGTCTAGATCCACAATTTGTAAAAACTTTTTAGAACCTAAAACATAGACTTATGTTTGAGTTGATGAAAGTGAATATAATACTGATAATTATTAACTGTGTTAACAGTACCGATAATTTTTTTGTTATGTAAGGTTTATCAAACTATTTTTCCATTTTAGCGAATTTCCTTATAGGGAAGTAGCTATTACCGTAGGTAGCACAGTAAGACATAGGTCCGGGACCGATTTAATGTACATTTTCATTTTGATGTCCCTAGAGGCCAAAAACACCTTTTGTTCAAATTTTTTTTAATAAATACGTCCGTGAACGACTGAGTAACTTGAGAACTTGAGTAATTTTTGTCTGTTTTTTATTAAATTTGGATTAAAGGTGTAAGGGGGGATAAACTTGAATGAGTTCGCGAACTACCATGATCGGACCATGGGAACGGGTTTTTACAGGGGGTTTTATGGGGTAAAAAATGGTTTTTCTAATTTTTTTACCCTCAAAACACAAAATCCAATTTCTCAATTTCCCAATTTCTCTCTAGACCTTTTTAAAGAGCTTTAAAAAACAAATTATTTAGTAAATCAAAGTATTTGTATACGGTTATTAGTAACGGAGAAAATTCAAAAAATTGTAAATTTTAAATTCTCGTGTTATTCTTATGGAGAATATTGTAGAATGTTCTAGTTTGCTTGTTTATGGATATATTTTGATCAAACTTGGCATATTTATTTAATTTATACTAAGCTATTAACATTTTACTAAAAAACACACTTTGTTAGTTTCCTTGTAGCAGCAAACCTAGGTACTCGTTAAGCCTAATGTTATTTAAAAAGATTTGAAAATCAATTCAGACAAATGGAAATTCGTTTAGTCGGCAGGTTTGCTGCGGCAGGTGTATTTATTTTCATTTCATTTATCTTAAAAACATAAAAACCCATTTTGAAAATATATTTACACTAGCAGAGAACATAAGATCCGTCCTTCGTACGGGGTTGGCATATAAGTTTAAAATACTAATTGCAGTTATACTCAAGCTTTGCCCTTGCAATAGGGGTGGACAAAGTTTGATAAAATTTGCTTCTTTAAATTGACGGTAGGCCTATAGGCTACTAATAGTATTACACATCTACCATAGCCAAAATGTTCTACCACTTCACCTAAACAATAAAGAAAAAGAAAGTATTACGAATTCACACAAAAAATCACAAATTATTCATGACAAACATAAACATAACTGTAAACAATCCTACTTTGACAGTTCTCATTGCATATCACAGTTTTTTGTTGCTGCTTAGTTCAAATTAGCTGTTTACTTAATGCAAACAAAATTTCAGTGCTGCACCCTGTTGGTAAATCTTATAACTTTTTAATGCTCTTGTATATCATAGAACCAACTTTTTTAGTTGAAACAGCTAACTAAATTATTTAATTCCCGTTAAATATTAATTGAGCGAAGCTCTTATACATCGACTCTTATGCATTTCGTAATACCCAAACTCCTCCTAGACGGCTGAATCAATCGTTTTCAAATTTTGGATGGTGATAAAGACCATATCGGTGAGTGCCAACATCTATATGGCGTTAAAAATAACTCTCAGGAATCCGCCCCACTGGGTCTCACAGTTTCAATGTAATCCTTATGGAAGCAGTATTTGACACATAAACAAAGACATATGATCAGCTGTTGACATTTGAATGCAGTAGATAAAGAAATAGCTGATAGCATTATTCCACAGATATTAAAACAGAAACGGTATGAATCATAAAAATAATCAAATGATGACACTAGCTTGAGGTCCGTGACGTAGGAAGTGGTGAAGGAAGTACTAAAGATGAGCGGTCTGGAGTGTGGAAACTATTTATGACAATTAGATTTAGGTATCTGCATTCCTAAAATTCTATGGGAAGGGAGGAAAACGGGTCCGCGACGTAGGAAGTAGTGAAGGAAGTACTAAAGGTGAGAAGTCTAGAGTGTGGAAAATGTTTATGACGATTAGATTTAGGTATCTGCATTCCTAAAGTTCTATAGGAAGGGAGGAAAACGGGTCCGCGACGTAGGAAGTGGTGAAGGAAGTAGTCAAGGCGAGCTGTCCGGAGTGTGGGAACTGTTTGTGACGATTAGATTAAGATATCTGCAAATCTAAAATGCTATGGGAAGGGAGGGAAACAGGTCCGTAACGTAGGAAGTGGTGAAGGAAGTAGTAAAGGCAAGCAGTCCGGACTGTGGGAACTGTTTGTGACGATTAGATTAAGATATCTGCAAATCTAAAATGCTATGGGAAGGGAGGAAAACAGGTACGAGTCGTAGGAAGTGGTGAAGGAAGTATTTAAGACGAGCTGTCTGGAGTGTGGAAATTGTTTATGAACAATAGATTAAGGTATCTGCAATCATAAAATGCTATGGAAAGGGAGGGAAACAGGTCCGTGGCGTATGAAGTGGTGAAGGAAGTAGTAAAGGCAAACGGTCCGGAGTGTAGGAACTGTTTATGACGATTAGATTAAGGTATCTGATCTGCAATCATAAAATGCCATGGGAAGGGAGGTAAACAGGTCCGTGACGTAGGAAGTGGTGAAGGAAGTAGTCAAGGCGAGCTGTCCGGAGTGTGGGAACTGTTTATGACGATTAGATTAAGGTATCTGCAATCATAAAATGCTATGGAAAGGGAGGGAAACAGGTCCGTGGCGTAGGAAGTGGTGAAGGAAGTAGTAAAGGCAAGCAGTCCGGAGTGTGGGAACTGTTTATGATGATTAGATTAAGGTATCTGCAATCATGAAATGCTATGGGAAGGGAGGTAAACAGGTCCGTGATGTAGGAAGTGGTGAAGGAAGTAGTAAATGCGAGCAGTCTGGAGTGTGGGAACTGTTTATGACCAATATAGTAAGGTATCTGCAATCCTAAAATGCTATGGGAAGGGAGGTAAACAGGTCCGTGACGTAGGAAGTGGTGAAGGAAGTAGTAAATGCGAGCAGTCCGGAGTGTGGGAACTGTTTATGACGATTAGATTAAGGGATCTGCAATCCTAAAATGCTATGGGAAGGGAGAGAAACAGGTCCGAGACGTAGGAAGTGGTGAAGGCAGTAGTCAAGGTGAGCTGTCTCGAGTGTGGGATCTGTTTATGACGATTAGATTAAAGTATCTACAATCTTAAAATTCTATGGGAAGAGAGGGAAACAGGTCCGCGACTTAAGAAGAGGTGAAGGAAGTAGTAAGGTGAGCAATGTGGAGCGTGGGAACTGGAAACCGTTTGTAGCAGTTAGATTAATGTATCTGCAATGCTGAAATGCTATGAGAAGGGATGGAAGCATCCCCACGACATAGAAAATGGTGAATGAAGTATTAACACGTTGACTGCGCGCGCCGACTTTACAGGCGCTCCCCAGTGGCGGGCGAAGCCCCGGCGCGCAACCGAATCAGCGAACGCAATTGGCATTCAAATATTTCAGTCTGACGAATCACAAAAGAGCAGTGGTGACTGTGCTGCGTTACCCCGAGAGTGGATGTAGTTCACTGAAACACCCAAAGGTAGCAGCACTGCATGGATCCAGTATCTTAGTAATCTTAGTAATTAGTTATCCGGTATCCAGTGTCTTTGTAATGTGGGTTGAAGAGAAAAAATCCCCGAAACCGGGACAAAAGCATTGCCAGACAGGATTTTACGGGAAATTTTAGTACCAACCTACATCAAAGTAAAGCTCGCATTCTAAGCTGGCAGGCTGGCAACTATTATAACGTCTCCGTCTGAGGCTAAGCTCACACTGACTCAATATATTTCTGTTGGTCTGGTGCCGACTTTAGTCGGCGCGCGCCACCTGGGAGCGCTGGCGACGCCGACTTAAGTCGGCACGCGCAGTCAAGGTGTTAAAGGCTAGCAGTGCGGAGTGTGGGGAATGTTTGTGGCAATTAGATTATTGTAGCTAAAATACTAAATTGCTATGGAAAGTGATGAAAACAGGTCCACGATGTAGGAAATGGCTTAGAAAGTAGTAAAGTATGAGCATAGTGTGAAAACCGTCTGTGGCAGTTGGATTGATGTATCTTTAATCCTAAAATGCTATGAGAAGGGAAGGAAACAGGTCTTTGACGAAGGAAATGGTGAAGGAAGTAGTAAGGCTTGCAGTGCAGAGGGTGGGAACTGTCTTTGGCAATTACATTAATGTATCTGCAATCCTAAAATGCTATGGGAGGAGGGAAACAGGTCCACGACGTAGGGGGTGGTGAAGGAAGTAGTAAAGGTGAGCGTGTTGAGTGTGGGAATGGTATAATGTATCTGCAATGCTAAAACGCTATGGGAAGAGACTGTAGACTGTAGGTTAAAATAATTACGAAGCACGAATCGATACATATTTCGATACATGCAATCGTTTACAATAGAAATTTACAACTGAGTTGTCAACAGCAGATTTTTACACCTTAGAGGCTAAAAACTATTTTTACTTCCTAAAGAGTAAAAATACTACTTTAGACCCACAACGCATGCATTAAAAACGACTGTTATTACTGAAGTATGACCAAAACAATATAATATAAACCGTTGATGACTCCGCTCAATTTTGTGGATGCCTCTGCGAACGCCACCTAGTACTCATAAGGTTAACATGAGGAACTACAGAGCCACTGGGGTGGAGCCGGAAAGGATTTTTGAGATAAGAATATGCCTATGTGTTAATCGGGAATGTGAGCTATCGTCATGCCAAATTTCAGCCCAATCCGTCCAGTGGTTTATGCGTGATTGAACTTCAAACAAACAAACACACAAACTTTCACATTTATAATATTAGTAAGATTTGATAGTGTATAGTTAAAATTATTTTGTGCAACAAATATATTAATTCAATAGTTGCAAATACAAATAGGAAAAGATGGTTAATCGTAAGGGATTCATTACCATTTGATAATCCAGTCATCATAACACACCCATTTAGTGAATTAAAAGTCCTTGTAAAAGAGTGCCAATTAAAGGATACATTAGCCTTTAGTGGAGTTGAAATGCTAGTATATTGTTACAGCAGACTTTGTATCATTCAAATTTGGTGAGCCAAGCAAATAATTTTTTTTAATTATTAAGAGTTTTGAACTATCAAGAGGTTTGATTTATTGGGAGGAAAAAATAACCATTCCAATTACAAAGAATTCATTTTTTAAATTAAACTGTATTATGTACGACAAAGTTTACAACCAAACAACCTAATTTAGTTACTTTACAACATACAACAGCTTATTTTTTTAGTTAGTTATAAAACTTGTTATTTTTGTTTGCTTTTTTGCTATTGATTGGGTCATCAATGACATTACTAAAGATGAACTGTGTTAACAGGATGTATAGTTTCCGGTTATGACAGAGAGGAATCCCTCCCTTCGAATTGTAGTGTTTTGCCAGCGAAGCTTTGAATTACTATGTGTTCCAAATCAATCTGCTCTTTCTCTTGGACTTCAAAATACTGAGTGTATAAAATCAACTTTACACACTCCTAGGAGTCTAATGCTACGATGCACAGATATTAAACACATATATCTGTAGGAACTGTTTATGACGATTAGATTAAGGTATCTGCAATCATAAAATGCCATGGGAAGGGAGGTAAACAGGTCCGTGACGTAGGAAGTGGTGAAGGAAGTAGTCAAGGCGAGCTGTCCGGAGTGTGATTACTGATAACGGAGTCCAATCAGGAGTTTTGTCCCAGATAGGTTGGGGGAAAATCAAAAATACATGGTAAAAAAGTTTGAAATATTGAGAGATTCTATTCAGACTGAGCTATTATTTCAAATTAACGAAAGTTTTGATGTAGCAAGTGTTTGAATAGCCAAGTGTAGACTGTAGACCTACTGTATGCTATTTTGCATACCCATTCAACAGGATATAATATAAATGCATCAGGAAAAGAGTAAAAATTGACATACCTGGACTCTGAGGGCGATGAAGATCAATTATTGTTAGATCAAAAATGATTTCACTTTCAAAAGAAAAGGCTATTTCAGGACTTATGATGTGACGATCTGGTGTAGGCAAAAACAAAACTTGGGGATTGTGACGATAAAGAGACATCTTTGCTATCTGCTTCCAAGCCTTCAAGAAGCAACCTGGTCTTGACAACTGAACAATGAACCTACAAATGAAGTACCGGTAAGTCTATCAGTTCTCTCAAATGGTTAATAAAATAGCCACCCTGCAGTTTTTAAGTTTAAGTATTTGCTAAATTAAAATCCATGTTAATGTATTTTGTTGAACATAGATGGTTTTAGCAAATCTATATAATTAATACGTTACATGAAACTTTGTCGGTTGAACTCCTTCGCCATTTCTTAACCGATTTGATCCATTGACGTCTCATTGGAAAGAGCGTGTCGCGTAAATTTGCAAACTGAACTAAATTTTTTGAAAAAGTCCCTTGGGCTCAGCCCCAGTGACTGTTTAAGTTCCCATGTTATCCTTATGAAGAACACAATTGTTTACATTTTGATCAGCTGTATAATTTAATTGCTGTTATTTATTTTTCAATTCAATGAAACGCGTTGGGTACATTTACTGATTTTGTTGAAATTAAATATTTTCTATTTTAATTTACATTCGTACATATTACAATGTAAAAATCGAGAAAGCCTGGACAATTTGATATATTTTGCCGAATAAGAAAAATGAATTGACATAGTAGGCCTACTGTATTTCTTGAGAAATCATTGAAAGAACCGATTTGTTAACCGTGGAAACATAGCAAAGTCATAGAATGCCACCAAGTAGAAGTAGAGATTTAAAAAAAATTACTGTCGTTATCAACCTACGTATATAATGAAGAACACCTACAGCTACAATATGAAGATTCCCACAAACAATGAACAAGGACGTTAGCCGAAGTGCTACTATTTTGTAGGAAACATGGACAAAATAGTATATAACTAATACTTAACTAATATTTATTTAGCTGATATTTAACTAATGTATGATGATTGGCAAAGGAAACCCCTCTAAGTCTGAATTAAACTGGTACGGCAAGGACATTAATCATTAAATATATGTTTTCATAAAAGTCAAGTGATTTTAAAAGAATGTGACTACATCCAAGAAACCTCAATAACACATTCATTGAAGGATTCACATTATTCCCATTTAAGGGAAACAAAAAAACCATCTGAACGACATTAGGCCTTTCAATTCTTTATTTTTTCAGGTAAATATAATTTACGAAATAACAGTAACTAGCCAAATGAATGCCAATTGATGCAAATAAAATTGCGACAGAGAGGTTATGCAGAAAATCAGGTAGTTCTTGTTCTTAGTCATGTAAACAAAATGTTATCGCTATAAAAAATTGACTGAAATTTGTAAACGTACTGGCGACAATGGGTGGTACCATGCAGACTACATTATCATTGACAAAGATCAACACGGACAACTTAATACGGAAACATTTAAAAAACTAGATCAGCTTTTGAAAAATGATAAAATATTTACAAGAAATGTTTATTATATGGAACTGTTAGTTACGTAATCTATGAGTTGAGTCTTTTAAACTCATCAGAAATTATGATGACTTTTATTTGTTTTTTAATAGGCTAACTACTTTACTTCTTTGAAATTGCTCGATTTCAAGCAACGTGTTTACTAGCGTGGTAGTAAATTAGTGTAAAAAATTATTACTGTTATTACTGTTATATTACTGTTATCACTGTTTTCTTCAAGTGGCCTGTGAAGACCAGGACAAGAACACTTTCAAGCCAGATGACCACTCCAGTTAAAAAGTTTCTGGTAATTTAGTTCAAATCAAAAGGAAACAAAGTCATTAAGTTCAAAGGTTAAAGTTTTGAAGTGAAATTATACATCTATATCTATAAAAGAGGATGTATGTATGTATGTGTGTGTGTATATACGTTATGGATTCCGAAACCGCTTGACAGATTGTAATGAAACTTTCAGGCATTATTAAGCATCTTTCAAGGATGGTTCGAGTGGAGTTTGGTGCAGATCCGTCAAAAGGGCTCTGCCCCAGAGGGTTTTAAGTGGGCCAATGTCAGACTTTTTTATCTACAATGTTTACAAATAAATATAATGCAGATGTTTACTTTCACCAACTGTTTTGTAGGTTTGAATAATCACAACATTCGGTATTAGCATTAGTCATGATTTTAAATAGTGCCACAGTATTTCTAAAAAGTGCAGCACAAAAAACAATTTTACTTTGAATAAGTCCAAATGTATTAAACCCCAATCGCAGCACACCTGTGCACTCAACAACGTTTAAATTCTCCAATGTTAAATATTAAAAACATAAAAACCTTTATCAAAGTATTATAAACAATAAAAGGGATGACAATGTCTTAACATTTTTATCGTTCTATACCCAAACAATCTAACATAAATTATTAAGTGAATAATAATCGTGCGTGCTATCTCGGGTATTCAAATGCCTCTCAATTTGTCATCAACCCACCACATTACTGTCATTAAAAGAAGGAAATCCAATAATACTAATGCAAAACTTTATTCCACCGAAGCTGTGCAACAATACCAGACTAACAAAATTACGTCAAAATTGATTAAAGCAAAAATTATCAGTGGTAGGTTTAAGGGAGAAATAGTCTTAATCCCAAGAATACTAATGATTTCATCCGAATTACCCTCTGATCTTAAGCAACTACAATTTCCTTAGTGCCTTGCTTTCGCAATAAGGCACTAGGGCAATCCCTGACTATATCGTCGGTTTAAATGTAAAAAAACATGCTTTTCAGACAGACAGATGTATTTTGTTAGCGCAGCAACGCGCGCCGGGTAACTGCTAGTTTATAGATAAAAGTAAATTTAAAATAACTTACCCAGTGCAACCATGCTCAAAAATCATTTCAAGAAAATCATAGATCAGCGGTGTATAGCATAAATTCTTAGTTTCTTGGCTCAATACAAAATTAAACTTAGGTATTAAACTCGGTAGGTTGAATAATTCAAATCTAAAACTTTCTTTTTCTGTAAATTTCTCACCTACCACCACTATACACTTAAGATGATAAAAATATTTTTCTGTTATGTCAGTTGATAGTTTATCAATTCCATTTATTCTTTGAGGTATATCTCTTTTTAATGAAGTCAAAAAAGTTACTTCAAAAATAGCAACAATAATTACACAGGTTGTAATAATTTTGAAACATACCATTTTTAAGTTTAATACACACGTTGGTGAGTGCTTTGGAAAGCTACTGGCAGAATAAGAGAAATAATATCTTGATATTTAGGAAGACCGAAAATTGTTATTTTCCTGCTTTGTAAATATAATGTCTTTTGTAATTTATTTGAAGAACAGTAAACAAAGATCTGTAAGAGGGAATCAGTAAGTACTGTACTATTGACTCAGTATTTATACTGAATCAAATATTAGGGAAACAAAAGTGACAAAAAACTCAGAGTAAATAAACTTGCTTCCTTTGAAGTTTGGTTAACAAGCATGCTAACAGCTTACAGTCAACAAGTCTCAGAGATAATACTGTAACATGTTTAATTTTTGTCACAATTATTATAGAATTTGTAATAAACTCTTTTAAAAACTTGCTTTGTTCTTTGTATGAATTTGATTACTGTATGATACTTGACTTTCTCAGTAAAGTAAAACAATCAATTATCCATTACTGTACTAATGATAATTTTAACTAAACCATTTCAACATAACAACAAGATGCTGTAGTAAAATAAAGTGAAAGTGCCATTTTAAAAGGTCCCTTTTGGACTCAAAGCCCCAATCGCGTGGTTTTAAAACATATTGTACACTAAGAAGCAGAAGATACTTCTACTGTATTATTATTGCTAAACTAGTAAAGTACCCGCCCTTCGTACGGGGGTGACGTATATTTATTTGTATTGTGATTGTTGACGTTGATCTAATGTCTTGCACCTGCGATCTGCAACGGTGAGAGGATGCAGAAAGGAAGAGTTTGGGTCTTTGAATTTACTAAATTTCATAGTTACATACCATTGATTATACAAACAAAATTCAATTATATCCCAATGAACATAAAAATTGTTTAAAATAGTGAAAAGCTCTATTACAATTGTTTTACAATTTAAAAACATTTGATTTAAACTTCATATTACAACAATTTTAATATAAGATTGAAACAATCTTTAAATTGTTGAACAATCGTTTTTTTTTTCAGTATAAAAAAAAGTTTCAATACAAGTTGTGACTATTTTAAAACAATTTTAAAATTGTTTTATTCTTAGTTTTGTCATAAAAAATGTTTAAACAATTTTCTAAACAATGTTTAAATTGTTTACAATACTTCTTTAACAATAGTTTGTGTAGTTCTTAAAAAACAAGTTTCAAGAATTTTGAAATCAATTTTCTAAACAATATTTCAATTGTTTATAAAACTGTAAAGCAATTGTTTGTGTAGTTCACAAAAATACAAGAGTTTCAACAATTTTGAAACAAATGTTTAATTTGTTTGATTATGGTTGACTAAATATGAGATGTGTCATCTTAAATAATGGGTTGTATCCCTGTTTTTAAACTCGCTTGAATTTAATTTGAAAACATACTAGATAAATAGCTATTATCATTTATGTTTAAATAACAGCTTATAATGTTTTACATTTTTTGTTTGAAAATGAAATGAAGTAATTGGAAAAGTATTAAAATATGTAAACAATTATGTTTATTGTACAGGTAAAGCATGGTAATTAATAATTTCTTCTTATAAAGTATTTTTTTTTTATATATAATACAATTGTTTATAATTTTTATTACATTATGAATACCGGTATTGAATTACTTGAATAGTTAAATTCATAATGCATAAGTTACCGATGACGTTGTGATACTGTAGTTGCGATACTATATACAGTAGTGGAACACCTGCTTAACATATAATAATAATAATGCAAATATTTTTTTAATTTTATTTCTATAACATATTTGAGTAAATTTTTAGTAGTTAAATAATTTAAGGGGGAAGATGAATTAATCATATAACAATTATAATAACATTACTAATGTTAATTAATTCATCTATATTCAAATACCGGTATCATCCCCAACTCCCAGAAAAACAATTCAACAATGTGTTGCCTAAACAGAATCATAGAATCAAAAATATTTCAAGTATTGCAGCCATTGC